TTTCTGGGTGGAGGCTGCCTCCTGCAAGACCCGAAACTTAGGGTTTAGGGTTTAGGGTTCAGGGTTTAGGGGTTTAGGGTTTAGGGTTTAGGGCAAGCCTGCAATTCCCGAACCCCCCGGACGCCTTACCTAAGGAAAATTCTACGATGGATATGGACATGTATATTTATATGGTTGCTACAGATATAGGCATGCATACAGATATAGCCTTAAACTCAGAAACCTCGAGGCCGAACCCCGCAACCCCTCAAACCGTAAACCCGCAGCTCACTCAACAACGTAGTCGTGTGCACTTCAATCAGATGGCATTGCAGATCCACTGAATATGAAGTTTACACCCTGACAGGCCCCTCAGAACCCTAAACCCTATACCCTATACCCTAAACCCTAAGCCCTATACCCTAAACCCTAAACCCTATACCCTATACCCTAAACCCTAAGCCCTATACCCTAAACCCTAAGCCCTCTAGGGCTCCAGCAGCCCCGAGGTTGGCAAACACGTGGGCGGTGCATCTTCAGAGGACGGCGCTTGAGAAATGAGGGCTTGCAGTTTCGGAGTTTAGGGGGTCAGTATGTAGAGGCCTAGATAATGACCTAATACTATTTTGGTGGCCCCTTATTATAAAACTGGTATAATTAACGGGCCCCAGAACCCTATCCTAAGCTTCAGCCTCAAAGCCTACACCGTGGTGGAGATGCTGGCTTTACCGAGCTTTCCCCTTAGTCAGCAGGCAGAGGCACGCAGTGCTCCCCGAAGACTGGTGGATTTTGCACTGGGAGAATCTTCGGCTCACTTTCAACCGCAGTGGCAAGCCCAATGTCATTACGATCAGTGAGAAGCCAATGCACCCGTGACCGGCTAATGTCCAGTCAGGAGACTTACCTGGGGGCTTAGGACCTTGTTAGGTTATAGGAATCCTATAATCTAGAAGCTTGGGCAATCACCAAAAGCTCGTTCTGGTGATTAACTCTGCCTTGGGCGATCCCTGAACCGTTCAAAAAACCCTATTCCTACTATTCAAGGCCGTGCAACTTCAAAACCTTTAGTTTAACCCTAAACCCCTAACCAAAACCCTAAACCCTAAACCCTAAACCCTAAACCAAAACCCTGAACCCTAAACCCCTCAAAGCCTCAGACCCTGGACCGAAACCCGAAGCCCTAAACCCTTCTAGGTTCCTGAGTCGTACCCTTTTGCCCTTTTTCTTTTTGGGTTCCCTTCTTAAACCTAGATATCAGGAAAAAGGGTAGCCTTATCATTAAAAGGTTATTCAGGAACCTAGCCTTCAAAACCCTAAACCCTGGATGGCTTTCCCTGCAGAGGAAGCAGCCGGGGAGCGATCAGACGTTGGATCAGGGACAAGAGGCCATGAGCGTTACTTAAAGGGTCAGGGGACTTAGTAACTAGAGTTATTATTAGGTAACTATACTTCAACCCCAATTAGGGTACTTATAACCTTACTTACTACGTCCCATGATCCTCTAAGTACTGGTACAGGCTTTGGGGCAGGAAAAGGCCTTTTTTTGGGGGGGTTTTTGGAGTCTAGGGCTCCGCTTGTTTTGGGTTTTTTCGTATTTGTTGTGAGAGTTTTCCGGCTTTGGGGCTTCGCGCTTACTGGGTGGTTTAGGGCAAGAGTTGCAGGCTTTGGGGTCTGGGGTTTACGGTTTTGGGTTTTTTGGCTGCCGATTACAAGGGTCACAGTTGCAGGCTTAGGGATTTAGGGGTTAGTGTAGGGTTCAGGGTTTAGGGTATAGGCTGAGAGTTGCAGGCTTTGGGGTTCAGAGCTTTATGGGTTGCATGGGCTTTCCGGGGGCTTTAGTTTGTACGGGGTGTGGGAGGTTTCAACATTTTGTAATTGGACTTGTATTTCGGCTTTTTAGGCTTCAGTTGGGCTTCTACATTGTTGCAAGGTCTAAGGTTTAGGGTTTAGGCTTTGCGTTTCGGGTCTAGATGAGGCTTGGGGTTGATGGCTACAAGGGGCCATTTGATGGTGGTGGCAGTGGTGCTGGCTGGTAGTGACAGTAGTACGGTTGATGATACAACTCCTGCATTACCTTAAGGGCCCTAACTATGGGAATTATGGTATCTTCCTGATTATGGGTCATGCAGGATGTTGTCCATCAGCAGTAGTGACAGTACTAGCAGCGGCAGCTTCTGTGCTGCTGGAAAACAACTGGTCATGTTCTTCGCATAAATCCTGCATGACCCAAAATAAGGAATATACCATAATTCCCTTGATTTAGGGTCCTTAAGGTAATGCAGGATCTATATCATCAACCGTACAGCCAACAACGACAGAAGGATAGGGATCTCCGCCCGAATCTTCAGGCACTCTGATTTGGCGGCTCAGGCGCACGAAAACGAGCTTTCAGGTTTACCTCTTCTTGCAGCCTAAACTTGCAAAATGGCGCCAGAGTCAGCGGCGTCGCCCGCTGGAGTGATTCAGCATGTGTGGATCTGTTTTCGTGCGTGGTGCGAGGAGACACCACAGCAGAAGACGGACAGATGGAAAATCCAGAAGCAACAAGCACGGGCACAAGTAGTGCGACTAATTCACTGGTTGCCTCGAGCTTTGCGGATCTGTGCCAGGATTTAGCTTTGTCAGCAAGGGCATGATTGCAAGCCGTCGAACCTGTGTCTCTTGGCGCCGAAAGGCCAAGAAAAGCATGTAGGTGTTACCAGTTTTGTGCATCATGCAGACACGTGCTTGGAGCCTGCGTGAGGCAGCATTTGGCAGTACAGTAGTTTCTCTCAAACCCTGGTCTACAGCGTTAGACTTAAGCCAATGGTATTGAGCCCGGTTTTAGAGCTTGCGGTCTTGGATGTTTGGATTTGCAACAAAGTCCTTTGCAGAATCCTGACCTGACTCTGGTAGGGAGCCTCAAGATGCGGCTCCTTCAGCATCCCGTCCACGTCACTGGTCGATGCCCCGATATCCAGGATGCTTGCGCATTGGTGCCATTTTGGGCACCGAGATCCACAAACCAAGCACCTGGAATCCTGAATCGCCACCCCAATTCTGGGACCCTGGACCCAACGTCCTGAACCCTAGTCTAGCGGTCGGAATAAGTAGCACTACCATTCATTAGGGTTCCTGATTGTAAGTTAGTTGTAATACGCATGTACCATCATGTACCCCACAACCCTCTCGTTTTCCAAAGGTTCAGGCCCCCGCATTAAACCGTAGCGCCCCGCACCCGGTTGAGGGCTGTTTCTTCTGGTCTCCGGGCCCCGCGCCCTGAACCTCTAATGTTAACGCCCAGACCCTCACCCCAGCTTAGGGCTCTGATTGCTTTGCAAAAGTACACGCTTAATGTCCTGGTATCATGAGACCAGACTATACCTCCAAGCCCTGCTGAAACGATTCTGAAAAAATCAAACACCTTTAAAGAACTGCTATACAACGATTCCAAAGAATATTTTGCAACACTTTTCTAGACTATTATATGTCTCTATAACGATTCTAAAGACTATTTTGCAGCACTTTCAGCCTGGCAGGTGACAGAGTGCAGCAACCTGCAAGGCTTCAACCCTGCCTTGCTCCTTGGGCCACGAAGGATTTTGTGAGGTTACTTGGAGGGTCGGGGGACTTAGTAAGTAGGTAGTAAGTAGACTTATAAGTACCCTAAAAGGGACCCTAATTGGGATTTTGTGAGGTCAGGGTTTTAGGCTTTAGGGTTTAGGGGTTTAGGGGTTTAGGGTTTAGGGTTTAGGGCTTAGGGCTTAGGGTTTAGGGTTTAGGCTTTAGGGTAGGGTTTCGGGTTTCTGAAGCCTCCACCCGGGGCTCTAGGGGGCTGAAGAAGAGGATTCCACCAGGGTGCTATCGGAGCTTACAGGGGTTTCTGTCATAGTTTGCGGGGGCTTTTGGGGTTTCATAAGGAACACTATTGCGGTTGTTGTTCTGTGTGTTTTCGTTGCTCTTATCATTCATGGCATCGCGACCGTCGTGCTAGACATGACTGCTATTCGTGGTCAGTGGCATGACTATCATCATCTCATGTTGCTCCGAGTATCGGTTTTGTGCATTTCTCCTGTGGAGACTGAATTTGGGCTTCGGGGCCGCGGGGTTTCATAGGGTCTTGGTTTAGGTTGGTCCGCAGGTTTTTCGGAGGTTCGGACTTGTACCCTAAACCATAAACCATTCTGGAGCTGGCCCCGAATCACCTGCGGCTGGGATTTTCGCAAGCCGTGCCTTTAAACCTCTGCCCTACCTTGCAACGCCATCCGACATAGAAACGCACAAGACTGACCCTGAACCCGAACTTTAAGCACAAACCCTTAAAACATGGCCAGAGCCCGAAACTTATGAGTGAAACTTAAGACCTTAAGATCTACAAGCCGCGCACCCTATACCCTGAACCCTATATGGGTGGTTGTCAAAATTATGTCCCTTTCTGGGTCCCGATTATAATAACTACGGCACCTACTGTTGATGGACAAAATCCTGCCTGACCCATTAGAAGGAATATACCATACTTCCCATAGTTTAGAGTCCTTAGGGTCATGCAGGATTTTGTCCATCAGCAGTATTATCTAGGGTACCCCCCAAAAAAGGGGACCTTAATTTTTAGAGCTACCCCTATATGAGTCGGCCCCCACACCCCAAGACCCTCGACTCGTTTAGGGCTTAGGGTCTGGGGCTTTGGGGTCTGGGGCTTTCGGGTTTAGGGTCTGGGGCTTTAGGCTTTAGGGTTTAGGGTTGAGGGTCCCAAGTGTAGAGTTTACGGTTTACGGTGTGCTTCAGGATGAATTCTCGGTTTTCGGTTTACAGCCCTTCCATTTGTTTTCTCTTTCTTATTTACTATAGATCCCAACGGTTGATGATATAAATATTGCATTACCCATAATAAGGAGTATACCATAATTCCCATAGTCTAGGGTCATTAGGGTAATGCAGGATTCATATCATCAACAGTATTAGTCGTACTTTAAATTGCATTCCTTAACAAGAAAGGCGTTCTGGGCTCGAGGACCCACTGTGTTGTTTTAGAAAACAGAGCCATGCCACCGTCTGCGCATCGCCTTCGGCGTCCGCTCTCTTTCGATGCTATCGAAGGAGGCGCCTCTGCTTGGGGGATTTGGTAAAATAGGGGATTTAATAATTACCTATATCACTTTGGGGGTTCATTATTATAACTATAGTCTAAGGGGCCCCGAAACCCCATTCCGATGATGAAGGCCCCTACAGCAGGGTTTGCTTTCGGGCGTTGCTATCTGGTGTGTTGCCCTCCTCCTGATAGGTTTGGGTTTTCTTAATCTCCGAACTCTGAGTTATGAGCTCGCAGCAAGTTCGGCCCTGAATCCCCGAACTATAAAGGCTCAAAACTTCGAACTTTAAAATTATGCCCGCAAATAAATCCTCGGTTTTAAGCCCTAAACTCAAGCCCCAAGTTTGAGCGCCGACCGACCACGAACGACATACAAGAGGGGCCTAAATACAATTTTGGGGGTTCCTTATTGTAAGTCATAAGTATACGTAGTATAATGGGCCCCCAAACCCTATTTTAATTTTTAAGGCCCCCATATGTGGTGCGAAGAGGGTGAGGCTTGCAGCCCCGAAGCGCACCGCCCCGACTCGAGTTTAGAGTGTAGGGATTGGGGTTTAGGGTTGAGGGTTTAGGAAACAGGATTTGTCAGTAAGGCTTAAGGTTTACGGCTCTTAAGGTCTGGGGTTTAAGGTTTAGGGTTTTAGGGCTTGCTTTTTGTGATAGCCGAAGCTACCTGCGCTGCTAAACAGGAACCAAGCAATATCCTCAGACCCGAAGCACTGTTGATAGACAAAATCCTGCATTACCCAATATTAGGGTCATGCAGGATTTTGTCCATCAGCAGTACCTGATGGAAGTCTCCCCCTGCTCCCTAAACCATGACCCTGAATGTATCTCCGAGGCTTAGCTGAGGCTTTACGAAATCTGCGCTCGCTTTGCTACCACTTTCTAGCCCAAGTCAAAACCCCAAACCCCTAAACCCCTAAACCCTGAACCCCTAAACCCCCTAAGCGCTAAACCCTAAACCCTAAACCCTAAACCCCTAAACTCCTAAACCCCCAAAGCCGTCAAGAGACCGCCTTTTAGGGTAGAGGGCTTAATTGGCAAGGCTCCAAGCCGCAACCCAGAGAGCCCGATGCCGTTTAACGGCCGTAACGAAGGAATATCTCGGTTAAAAAGCATAGGGCGTCCTATTGTGATTCAAGGTATGATGACAGGCTAAAAAATGGCATTAATCCTCCTTTGAGTTCCTTTTTGGAGCTATACTATACTCTACCCCCATGCCCCCCATGCCCTGTTCTAGTTATGAAGGCCCTCATAGTATGGTAAGTGATACTGGGCTCTCTGAGCCTCTAGACAAGCTCGGGTAGACGTACGCAGGAGCAGCTAGTTCGCTGCGTGGTGCGACAACTCGGCAGTTGCTGTCCGGCCTCTTGACCTTGAGGTAGCGTAGGCAACCTTGACCTTTTTGGGGTGCCATAACTCCTATATCTAAACCCTACACCCTAAACCCTAAATCCTATATTCCCTTTCTAGTTTAGTCCCTATATACCTCCAAAGGTTAACCTTTAGTCCTGCAGGATAATCGACCAGTGAGTTGACTCTTCTTGGAACTTTCGGACCCTACCCAGAACCCCGAAACCCCTGAACCCCTAAACCCCTAAACTAACCCAGAATCCTAAACCATAAAAGGGCGGTGAAGAGAAACGGGTTTCGGGCTGCAGTTTTCGGGTTACATCGAATCCTAGGTGCAGGGAGTTGACACTCCACGGTCCTGGCCGAAGAGCAGAATCATGATGAAGCTCTCCAGCGACTCCAAAATCCCTTCATTCGGAATACCCCTTGAACTTGAATGGAACACGACTACGATGAAAGTAAACTCCTTAGTAAAGTAGTTTTGGAGTTCTTGTGACAAAGGTTTGCAGTAGTGATTGAGTTCTGAATTCGACGGCCAACGATAAACCCTAATCACTAAACTAAACTCTACACCCTCAACGGTAGTCAGGGTTACCCTGGACCCCTACTTGGAGGTTCGGAGTGTTATAGCCCGATCATGATCTAACCCTGAACCTTACACCTACACCCGCATATTCTATTCCCAAGGCCTTATTGCTCCGCTCCTGTTTTTTTCCGGCAGTACTTCCTTGCTCATTCAGAGCTTCGAGTTCTGTATTGGTATACTTACGGGGCACGAAATCAAGGTTGCAATACTGTTGATGATATAAATCCTGCATTACCTTAAGGACCCTAGATTATGGGAATTGTGGCATATTCCTTATTGTGGGTAATGCAGGATTTATATCATCAACCGTAGTGGCCTCAAGATGCTGTTGTCAGGAAAGAAGAGCGAAAGCACTTTGACGAGCGCGTCTTGACCCAAGGCAGGAGCAAAGATCACCCGACGCGCAATGCCAAGTTTCCTTCGTGCAGGCATGTTCGACCATTTGCACCAGCGAATGGAAGCGCCAAGCCTCTGCATTCCCGGCTCCGTGGCTTGCTTTCCGAGCGCAGGAACTTCGACCCCTGGCCCCGGCGAACCACTGGCTTCGGGACAATATTCCGAAGTCACCTGCGCACATGAGCTATCGCCCGCCATGTGTTTTCTAAACCCACCACTTGAAATCGCGACACAGCCATGGGAGCCCTAAACAAGCTCTAAATCGAGCCCTAGACCCTTATGTTCCCTCATCTCCGGCCGTTTAAAGTTCACTTCATCCTTCAGAATTAGCCGGGTTCTTAGTGCAGCGACTGTTGCTGTAGTAGTGAGGTAACCTTGAACCTTTTGGGGTTGCCATAGCCCCCACATAATCCCAAAGGGCCACCTTGAGTTCCCTTAGTGTACTGGACAAGTAAGGATTCAATCAGTTTTGAGTTCCTCGTACCCGAGCCCTCGAAGTCTCTTCCACTAGTAGTGAGGTTAAAGCCCTGAGGACCCAAAGAATTTCCAGAATCCGGTCTGCATCGGTTTAGGGTCTAATGGTTGAGGGTTTGGGGTTTAGGGAACATGAAGCTCGCAACCCTGCTGCCCCTACTCTTGAACGCTCTCCAACAACCCTCCAGTCCTAAACCCCTAGCCCTTTTTATTCAGTTGGTTTTCGCTATTAGTGTTTATCTGGGCCCCGAGATTGCTACAGAATTCTTACAGTCCTCAAGTCTTGGGGCATAAACCCTAAACCCTAAAACCGAAAGCCCCTAAATCCCTAAAACCCCTGAGCTGCAGACCCAGGTCCTGGGATGATCTTCAACCAGGGGTCTAAAGCCCTAAACCCGTAAACCCATGAACCCTAAACGCCCCAAACCCTAATCCCTAAAATCCCTAAACCCCCAAAACCCATAAACCCATGAACCCATAAGCCCTAAACTGTAGACCCAGGTCTTGGGATGATCTTCAACCAGGACCTGCCAGCGCTCCTATCGGCCGGCGGACTCAGCGGCATCCGATTTCCGACGAGGGAGCAGATGCAGAAAGCAGGAGATACCCTGCTCCTTGGGCCGGAGGCTCCCAGAGCCCATTTGGATCGGATTTTGCGGGTATCTAGGTAGGGCTTTGGGACATTTTAGATTTTCCCTTATTGGGCTTAAGAGGATCTTATTTACTAATATTTTTCAAGGGCTTTAAAAGCCCCACCTAGGTATGTTTACGGCATAAAGAAAGTGCTTAGTAGCTGAGTGGATACGCTTTACACTTTTTCGGATAGTACTACCCACTATAAGACTAAACGTGGACACTTTTTGGGTCTTATGAACTCAGCAACTACGAGTGTTCCTTGATCCCTGGAGTGTATGACTTTGGGTTTCAGGACTCTCGGCTTTCAAGGGTTTCGGGGCTCTTGGGGTGTTCGGGTTGGGGATGAGTTTAGGGTTTAAGGTTTATAAGGGTTTAGGGTATGATTTTGGAGTTGAGGTTAAGGGTTTACAAGGATAGTACCTGAAATGGTTGAATTCGGGCAGGGTTGCGGATGTGAGGTTTCGGGCTGTGGGCAAGACCGCAGCGAGCATTCCGTTTCCAGGGTTGAGGGTTTGGGTTCTGACGATCAGAGCCCTAGATCCAAACCCACGACATTATGAGCCGCGGTGTCTTGGCGACATGTTCTGCGACCGTTGTCATGTAAAGTCCTGATTAATAACTTCGCCTTGTCGGCCGCTTAGCAATCAGAGTTCTACATTAACGTTCATGCTAAGGTTTCTGGTGGGTGTATGTAGGGCTTCTGAAGCATCTTGGACAGTTCTTGTTTTGGGATACCATCGGGAGAAAGGGTATTAAAACCCTATTAGGAACAACGACGTCGTCGCAAAGCCCTTGTAGCACAATGCAGCCTCCCATCTTGAAGCCAGAAAGATCTCTTATAGAACCCTTAGAGGAGTGCTTGCTGGAGCCCTTAGGCAATTTCGGGGCATATGAATGCTGAACCCTAGAACCGACTTATCATGTCCCGGCTGCCCGAGGTTCGATGCATCCGTGGAGACTAACAGCGTGGACCTCTTCATCAGTCATTCTTGGAGCGCAGGCCCTAAACCCTAAACCCTAAACCCTAAACCCTAAACCCTAAACCCTAAACCTCTTCATCAGTCATTCTTGGAGCGCAGGCCCTGCTAGGGCTCAGGGTTGAGGGCTTGCGAAGCCTGAGCCCCACTCTAAAGGGGTGTTTAAGGGTTACTATAAGGGATCTATAAGGGTACCCTAATGTAGGGGCCTTCTAAAGGGGTCTATAAGGGTTACTATAAGAATCCCAAAGCTCCAGACCCGAAACGCCGTAACTCCCCTTCGAGCTGTCTGACCTTTCTGACCATGCATCCCCTGAACACTAAACCATTAATGCCCGTACGATGCTGAGCTCCGAACCCGAAAGCCAAAACTTGCAAGGCACCGGCAACCCTAATATGGGGGCCTTCATTGTTCGCAATAGTTGGAATAAGGTGTTGGGTTATACTATACTTTATAACAAGGAACCCACAAAATAGTATATATTGGTACTTATTTAGGCCTCTACCCTAAGCCCTAAACCCCATAGATCCCTCCTTATAGATCCTTTAAAGGAACCCTTAAGGATCCCTCAAAAGGTAGTATAGGTAATTTAGGCTTCTACAATAAAGCAGAAAACAATCCTTGGTCCAGCAGGTCGTTGGGAGAAGTTCCTGGCACTCTGTCTGTCACCCGGCATTTCTCAGCGGGTCTACACGGGAGTTTCGGAAACATAGGGGTGCTTTATTTGGGGTCCTTACAGTAAGGATCCTACTATTTAGGGTACTGTATTAGGGTCCCCTGTTTTCGGAAACTCCTGCACGTTTAGGGCTCAGAATTGATTAGGAGGTGCTTGGAACGACTCTGCAGGCATAGCATGGCATGATAGAGACCCTGAATACTAAGAGTTTTGCTTTACCGGACCCCTAAACCCTAAACTCTAAACCCCTAAACCTTAAACCCTAAACTCTAAACCCCTAAACCTCTAAACCCTTAACCCTAAACCCTATCCTAGTTTGCCACCCTGATTCTGATGCGCTACGAGGCAACAGATGTTTCATCTTGGAACCCTTCTCCCGTTAACGCTCAGCCCTTAAACCCAAAACCCCTACAGCCCTAAACCCCTAAACCCTAAACCCTAAACCCTAAACCCTAAACCCTAAACCCTAAGCCCCAAACCCCATGCCCCGTGGCCCCTGAAAAAAACCGCTTACGCCCCTTCGCCCTAAATCACTAGACCCCTAAACCCTAAACTCCAGACCACATGAGCCCATTTAAGTGAATACGTCCCCTTAAACAGATTTGAACTTCGAGCCGGACCCCTTCCTAAATCCTAAGCTCTAAACTTGGGCCCAGGGAACATGGGTTTAGGGTTTAGGGATCATGGGTTTAGGCTCTCGGGGTGGAGGGTTCAGGGTTGAGGGTTTAGGGTCACCCTACGTACAAGAAGGGAGAGGCCAGGATCTGTAAGGGGGTTTAGGGTTTTAGGAATCATTAGACTTAGGAACTCGGGCTATCATCATTCGAATCACTATCGCAATGCCTGTAATTACGTAGTATGATCACAGGTTAGGTACATATAGCTCATACAACCTTACTTCCCAAGTCCCATGATCCTCCAAGTAGTACCCTAAATCATGAACCCTACAGATCCTTTAAGAAAGCCTATAGATCCCTTTAAGGAGCCCTTTAAGAACCCTTACTAAGTCCCATGATCCCGTGTTTGGGGCTTCAGGGTCCAGGGTTTCGGCTTTCCGGTTCCGGATTGTTAGGCTTTCAGGGCATTGCGGCGGCTTTTTGGGGCTTCGGGGTTAAACCCTAAACCCTAAACCATAGCTTTTCAGGGGCAGAGGGGAGGGTTTAGGGTTCGTTTCAGGGTTTCACGGGGTTTTAGGGTTTTCCCTGGCGTCACAGGTTTCGGGGTTTAGGGCTTCAGTTTCCGGGCTCCAGTTCGTTTCGGGTTTAAGGCGGCAGGATCTAAGGGATTTCGGGTCCTAAACCCTAAACCCTAACCCCTAAAACCCTACCCTCAACCCTAAGCCCAAAACCCTGAACCCTAAACCCTAAACTCTAAACGCTACCCTAAAGCCTAAACCCTAAACTCTAAACTCTACACCCTAAAACTCTTAAGCTAAACCCTAAACCCTAAACCCTAGACCTGAAACTCTTAAACCCGAATCAAGGCTTCAGGGCTTCAGGGCTTTCGCATCTAGCAGGCCCGGAGGTCGGGGACCGAGGGCTTTGGGTTTCAGAGTTTTGGAGCTTTCGAGCTCTACCTTAAACTACCAAAACCTACTCTTTTGTAGGGTCCCTACAAATTCCATAGTAGGGTTTATAATAAGAACCTACAAAAAAGTAGGGTTTGGTAGTTTAAGGTAGGGCCTAACTTCAAAGTTTAGGGTTGAGGGATTTGGGTTAAGGGGTTTAGGGTTAAGGGATTAGGGTTTAGGGCCTAACGTCATTAAGGTTTAGGGATCAGGAATTAGAGGGTTTAAGGTTTAGGGATCAGGAATTAGAGGGTTTAAGGTTTAGGGATCAGGAATTAGAGGGTTTAGGGATTAGGGATTAAGGCTTAGGGATCAGGAATTAGAGGGTTTAAGGTTCAGGGATCAGGAATTAGAGGGTTTAGGGTTTAGGGATTAGGGATTTAGGTTTAGGGATTAGGGTTCAGGGGTTTAGGGCTTAGGGTTTAGGGTTTAGGGCTTAGGGTTTGGGGGTTTAGGGTTTAGGGCTTCGGGTTTAGGGGTTTAGGGGTTTAGGGGTTTAGGGTTTAGGGTCTAGGACTAGGACGAGCGAGCTCAGGTATCTGAATCTGGAGATGGCCGTCGCATGTTGCATGACCACTTATATCTTGGTCCTGGTTGTGATGATCTCATCGTATGGTGTGGCTGGTCTTGGGGGTAGTCGGCTGCTCCTCCCTTGCTTTGTGTACCTGCCGATGGCCGCATTTTTTCTTGTGTTCTTCTTCGGGCAGCAATTGTCCTTCGGGCTATGGTCTCCGTCTATCTGGATAGATAGGTTGTGCATCCACCAGACAGACCTAGAGCTGAAATCCGAACAGATCAAGTCCGTGCCAACCTTCGTGGTGCGCTCTTCCCGCATGCTCATCCTCTGCGACGGATCTTACTTTGAACGGTTGCCGGGTTCTGGAGCATTCTTTTTTTTTGATATGCGTTTTTTTGATTACTTCTGACAGGGAGTGATACAGAACTGAAAGCTCCCGCGGGAGTCGCAGGTTGTGGTGCAATCTAGAGCTTGCCACTTTTGCCCGGCATGGAGGCGTGGAAAAAGTTGACGTGTTGCCATTGTGGCTTGCTCCCTGGCTTCTTTTCAGTATCTTGCTGGAACTCCTCAGCGTCAACTTGATAGAAGTTTTGCAGCTTGTGTTCCCCAACTGGAGTGCTGCGTGGCAGCAGCATATCATGGTTTTGGTTGCGCCACATGTGGGAGAGAACCCACTGATGCAGCTGCTCGGCTCTTCAAAACTGTGTTTTTTTGCTCTTCCGGACGTTGGTTCCTTAGAAGAGCCTGCATAATGTAAAAAGCTCTTTGTTCGCATGCCCAGACAGCCCAGTACCCCGGGAATGACGACTAATATGACAGCAGAACTCAGGAAGTTTGTCGGTTGGTTTATCATCTGGATGATCTTGTCCGTGACCACGCTCCCGGGCTCTATTCCCAGCACCTTGACGCAGATTCCTAGAAACCTTCAGGCCTAAAACAAGCAACCCTAAACCCTATTCCCCAGACCCTACCTAGACCCCCCAACTACACTCAAATACACCTTGAAATACCCACTATTCAGGACCATGAGGTAAGCCTAAACCCCCTTAAAGGGAACGCTAAGCCCCCTTTTAAAGGAACCTTGAGGGCTCCCTTAAAGGGTACTTGGAGCCTGGAAGTCCCAAGAGCAACGTGAGTCTGAGGCCAAAAACAGTACGATCGACGACCTTCGCACCCTAAATTCCTAAAGGCTTGGGGGTCGAGGGCTCAGGTTTTAGGGTGTAGGGTTTAAAGGGTTTAGGGTTTAGAATGTAGGATTTAACGGGCTTAGGGTATGGGGTTTAGGGGTTGGGGGTTGGGGTGTTGGGTTTAGGCTGTAGAATATTGAATGAGGGACTCGGGTTTAGGATAGTAGTTACGCAGGCTATTATTTGGCTCAGTATATGACAGTATATGATTAGAAAGCACGTGGGCCCTTAGGATTAGTTCAGGTGTCTAGTGTCTTGTGCAACTCTCTCTCTCTCTCTCTCTGTCTCTCTCTCTCTCTCTCTCCCTCTCTCTGTTCCTATATATATATATACTTACATATATACACCTTTGTTTCCCGGTAGAGGCGACCCTCTAAGTACTATGCAGGTCTGCATGCTCGAACCGAAGATCGCGTGCCCAACTAGAACCGGTGTAGAGCTTAGGGTTTAGAGTTTACGGTTTCCCTAAACCCTTAACACCAACTAGGATTTAGGGTTTTTGTAGTTCAGGGCTCTAGAACTCAGGATGCAGGATTTCAGGGTTTGCAGTTTCAGGCCGCATCCTGCCAGGGTTGGATCCTAAAGCACACAGCCGCAAGCCCTGTGAGACCCTAAGCCCAAAGTCTTAGAGCCCAAAACGCCACCCTAAACCCTGAAACCCTGAAACCCTGAAACCCCAAACCCTAAAGCACTTTAAGCAGATCTAAACTGAGATAAGAGCTAAACACAAGCCCTGCCCCAGGGTTTAGCGTCAAGTGCTTGGGTTTTGGGGGTTGAGGTTTCTAGTGTTTTTTAGGGTTCATGGTGTATGGTTTAGGGTTCAGGCTGCTGGAGGGCGCGGCTGCAGAAGTGTTTCGGGGTTTTGTCAGTCTAGCTGGGGCGGCCCGGCACTTCAACCCAAGAACGTGGGACTTGTGATGTGCCAGGTTTCTTCTCCTTCCGTATGAAGATTCGACATCATCAACTTATCCTGGACATGGGGGTTGGGGGAAGGGGGAGGTTTGGGGTTCGGGTTTGGAGCTTCAGACGGTTTTTCCATTTGCAACATGTGATATTTTACATTTAGTAGACTATACTATACTGCACTACACATAACATTATATTTGTACGAGATTACCTTAGGTTCGATATTGTCTAATGTATTGTATTCTGCTATTTTTGATAGGTTACATTAGTGTCTTGCTAGTTCTGACTGATATTGCCGGTCGTGGCAGAAGTGATGGCGATGGCCATTCGTTGGCAGCCATGCAAACCAGACCTGCGTGATGCGACGGATGGTTTGGACAATGCTAAGAAGTCTGCGAGCAATAGAAAGTCGTTATAGGAACAATGCCGTTGTCTTGTGAACTCGAGACAAAGAGGGCAGTATGATGTGCAAGGTTGATATGAATGAGCAGACTGGTGCGAAGCCGACACCAACAAGTTCACTGCAAGAGCCGCAGCAGCCTCAATAATGATATGCAGCATGGCACTACCGCACGATGCCAGGAATGGTATGATGAGATGATAGCAACGACCCTACAACCAGTATTGCTAGCACAACCTTATCCGGAACTGCCAGTAGTTTTCAGCAGAGACCTAAGAGCAGCAGCACCTCTATAAGGGTTCCTATAAGGGTTACTATAAGGTTACTATAGGAGTTTACTATAGGGGTTGAGTGTCTAGGGTTCTTAGTAGGCTCCGTTGTGTCTTCTCTTCTGTCCTTGTCTTGTCGCCTCTGTTCCCCTCTACGCTCTTCTGTTTCCCTCTCCTCTCCAATCTCGTCTCTCGCATTTCTCGTTCCCCGCCGTGCTTTCTTGTACGTCTTCTCCCCAAAGGCCCATCTGATGGTCTCCTCAACTCCTGGACATCGAATTATTCTGCTTCGGTTTCAAGATGCCGTCCTTCGTCCTAGGCCCTTAGCTTTAGGGTTTAGGGTTTAGGGGTTTAGGATCTGGGAGTTTCCGAAAATAGGGGGTACCATATTTTGGGGTCCTTATGATAAGGATCCTACTATTTAGGGTACTATATTAGGGTCCCCCATTTTCGGAAACTCCCATCTAAATCTAAACATTCCGAACTCAGACCTTAGCTTGCAGCCCCTGAACCCAAGCAGTCTTCGTCACGTCACCCGGTCACTGCTGTCCTGTCCTTAGGCGGACCAACCTCGGCTCCAGGATCAAATGGCAGACTTCGACGTCCGGGCAGCGAAATGCTCTGAGCCTTCGGATCGAGACGCCATCGAGATGCAACTGCAGGACGATTTCCAGAAGTCACACGCTATTGAAAGTAATCTAGTTTTGGGTAAGGGTTATCATTACGATTATTGTCAAAGTTACCAGGATTAGTAGTTTTTGTGGTAATATTAGTACCATTAGTCGTATTACTATTATTAGTATTTCTAGTAGTATTGCAACGTAGGCTTAAGAGTCAGCACATCACATCAGGGTTCTGGGTTCAGGGCTGTCCTTTCTTGCGGCTTGAACTTCAAACCCTAAACCCTAACCCCTGAATCTATAAGGCATCTATAGGGTTTCTATAAGAATTCCATAACGAGGATCATGGGACTTAGTAAGCAAGGTTATAAGTACTTCAATTGGGGCTAGAAGTATAGTTACGTTAATAGTAACCCCAGTTACTAAGTCTTAACTTCCATGATGATCCTTTAAGCAATCCCGCATGCCAGGGGTTTGGGGTTTAGGCGACATACTGGGTCCCAAAGCCATAAACCTCCCGCCCCGAAATGGCTTTAGGTGACACACCGGGTCTCAAAGCTGTAAGCCCGACATCCTCAGCTTGCTGGCTGAGTTTGCCAAGTTGCCCTCAAGTTTTGGGCCTCTTGCAGCTGAAAACCGAAAGATGCCTTGTTCTATGAGCCCGGAATTAAGTAACGTCACGGTTTTCTCATGTATCCAGTCTCCTATTCATACTATAGGGGCCTTAAGAATTACCTATACTATTTTGGGGGTTCCTTATGTTTTCTTACAGCACAATATACCAAGAAACCCCATTCTAATAATTAAGGCCCCTATACTAGTATCCTTTATATATAGAGCCCTCTAAAGGAACCCTATATTCCTAAATCCCTTAAACCAGCTCGGGTTTGCAGTGGAGGCAGAGGACCATGAGCACAGCGAAACTGAGAAGCCGCAGACAAATCGAACATGAACGCACTGAAAGCACAGCGAAGGTCTGTGGGAACTCATTACTTAGTAAGTAAGGTTATAAGTACCCTAAATGGGGTTATAAGTATAGTTACCCTGGTAATAACTCTACTTACGATCCTTTAAGTAGGGTTTAGGGTGCTGGGCTCAGGGTTAAGCGCGAAGAGAACCATGGGTTTCTCTCTTTCAGTCCTCAGCGCAGACCTGGTTCAGTTGCTCTTTACGTCGGCATTAATCGGTGAGTTGCTGCACACCTCCAAGCCGACCTGAACGCCCCCAAACCCACCCTAAACCCTAAACCCTAAACTCTAAACCCCTAACCCCAAACCCTAAACCCAAAACCCCTAACCCCCTAAACCCTAAACCCTTCCCATGGAGCTCCAGGAGATATTCTGCAACCATGACCTACCCTCTCTCGGTTCTGATGCCGTGGATGAGGGTGAGGCAGGAACCGAACTATCGGAGGTATGAGGCTTTTCCAACTGGGTGGTTGTCAAAGTTGTGGTTCCTTTTTAGGTACCCTAAATATTAGGTGCCGTACTATATTAGGGACCCTAAAAGGGACCATAATTTTGACAACCACCCACTGTATGGGTAGCCAAAGGGCTTGATAACTGGACTGGTACGGTGAGGGTTCTGTAAGGGCACTAGAAGGGTTCCATAAGTGTAGATACAGGTTCTATAAGGGGATCTATCGGGGTTTTGTGAGGGTGCTGTACTTGAAGGGTTTTGGGGTTAGAGGTTTCTTGAACCCTCGAAAGCAAAGGTTAACCCTGCATTTCCATAACTCAAGCATAGGCACAATGTGGAAGCTCGGAGACATAGTCCCGAGGCCCGATCATGCTATTGGCATGCCTATCTTGTGCCAGAAGAATGGCTCCCCCAACAAGGTTCTGGGTTCTTGTTTGAGGACCCTGAGTGCACTGGTGTTTTCTGGAGCGTCCAAACCCCCGAAACCCTAAGCCCCAAACCCAAGCTCCATGAGGTTTGCTCGGGTTGTGTGGTCAAGCTGACGCTAGCACCACATCGCAGCAACAACAGACAGGAAACCCTTTGGGTCTGCTAGACTGGGATTTGGGTTTATGGGTTCAGGGTGTTCGGGTTTAGGGTTTAGGGCTTGAGGGTTTGGGGTTGATTGGTTTGGTGGTTTAGTACAGGGTTTTAATTGGGGTTTGGCGTTGGGAAATCCACCTCACGTTATTGTACGTGACTGGGCCCGGTGGTGGCGGTGTAAACCCGATGCCCTGAACACTGACATGGCGGCCTGCTTTGGGGCATATTGTACTATAGCTAGGAAACGCAGCCCCAAAGTAGTGTTAGTATGTATTTAAGGCTTCCATATTACACTCGGAACTTTTTGCAGGTGAACCTTCAACCCTAAACCCTAGACCGTTGCAGGTGAAGGTTCAGCAGCATGTGCGGCACCAGGCCACCGCTAATCCGCTGGACAGCTTCAATGCCTACGTTCGAGGCAGAGGGCTCCCCAAGAGGCTCCAATATCCCTGAACTAAGGAGTAGATAAGGGTTCCTGAAAGGGTTCCTTTAACAGGGATCTATAGGATGTAGGGTGATATTCCCATAATGAAGGAATAGACCTTAGATTATAGTAGGATCCCAAAGTGATTTAAGGTATATTTGTTAATGAAGGGATATTGGAGTCTCTAGGTCCTCGACGGCAACAGGAATAACCACCCAGAGCCCTAAACCCAAATAAGCACGGTAAGTGGGTGGTTGTCATAATTAGGGTCCCTTTCTGGGTCCCTAATATAGTACGGCACCTAATATTTAGGGTACCCAAAAAGGGACCAACATTTGACAACTACCCAAGTAATTAGTAGGAGTAAGGATCAAGGCACTTGTGCAACGGTTGTAGGAGGAAGTGACAGGAAGTCTTGTGATTTGTGACTAGGGACAGTTGGATAAGGGTTGTGCACTTTCACTTTAGCACATGGTTGTTCTGACGTATGCGGTGCTGCAGAGTACCCCCAGGTGTCCTTCGTGACATTGTCATGATGCAGATCGGCGATGAAATCTACGTACCATGGCCATTGTGTTTAACTACCTGCCTACCGATGATCTTGTATTCCTCCGTGAACGTGCTGGGCTGCGACAACGGCTCTTGCGAGGAATCTGCGCGGCTGGCAGGATGTACCTCGACGCTACAGTACATCCTCGCTGACGTGGTCGGCTGGTCACTTAACATTGTGCTGGCATTCCCACTGACCTATCCTGTCATGCTTCGGATGCTGAAATGTGTTCTCTCCTTCGGCGATGGTCTTGTACAGCGCTGTGCAGCTTTCTTGTGTTGCATCTTGGTATACGAGTACACCTATATGTGCGGCGGCTTGATCTGGGGCACTTGGATACTTGTCGTGGAGGACTACTCTCCACTTCAACTCACAGTTTTTTTCCTGGCGATGATTTTCTTGCTCATCCAAAGCATCTGCCTCTTTTACAAGTGGGACAGGCACCTTGGTGGTTCAAAACCCAACCTTGCAACTTTTGGGCCTCTTATAAGGTAGTCTGAGTCGGAGAGTTCTAACTTCTTACCCCCTGAGTACTTGAGAAGCAAGGCATGGACAGGAAAACCTGGCATCATGTCGCTGTGTCAAACGACAGGTCGCGACATATCAGGCCGCACGGTAGTGCAGTAAGCAATGTTTGACTCGCTTTCTGGATGTTGTGTTAACCTCATCGAGTCCGTATATAGTGTAGGGGCTTGAAATTGATTCCGTAGGGTTCCTGAATAGATTCTAACACAAGTATACACTAGTATACCATCACTTCTTACCCCCTCTGTTGCGCATGTAGGTTTGCGGGTTCAGTAAAGTTAGATTTGAGGTTTCAGGCTTCAGCAGCTATTTTTCAAATGAATCTAAACCTTAAGCCCGAAACCCTAACCTTAAAACCCAAAGACAACCCTAAACCATCGAGATCTGTAAGGCAATGGGCGCCGAAAGCGGCTCGCCCTTGGCCTGCTTTGAAGAGTCCCCTGAATGAGCCTATCGGCCCAAAATGTTACATGGGTTCAAGAATACGGGACCCTCATATAGTATCCGAAATAGTAGGATCCTTGTTTTAAGGACCCGCAAAATAAGGTACCCCTAATTTCCCCAGGGTTTGGAGTTTAGACTTTAAGGTTCAGGGTTTACTGGGTTCTTGTGAAGCAACTTAACCTGTGTTACCATGATGGAAACCCTATCATTTTCTTCAGACCCCTACGTACTATGGCAACTTCAAGCCACATTCCTGAACAAGTCCCAGTTTCGCGTTAAGGGCCTGGCCAGGGAACCTTAAGGGAGAGGTTGTTTTTTTCCTTGTAGGAGGGGGCTCCAAGGGGGATAGATAACCTACTAATCACTAGTTCTCTCTAGTGCTCCCTAAGGTTCCCTAAGGCTCCCTTGAGGTTCCCTAAGGATCCGTTGTATCCTCCCCCTTGAACCACCCTCCCTGAAGGACCCCATAAGTTTTGGTTGTTTTACTAGAAGGGCTCCTATACTCGGGTTCCTTTACGGTTTCCACTACTTGGAGGGTCAGGGGACTTAGTAAGTAGGTAGTAGGTAGACTTATAAGTACCCTAAAAGGGATCCTGATTGGGGTTATGGTACTTATAAGTCCCTAAAATAACCAGTTACTAAGTCCCCCGACCCTCCAAGTAAGGGCTCGATCAGGGTTCCTACAAGGGTTCTGTGGTCTGAAGGCTTTCGGCATTAGTCGAACGGGTTTAAACCCTACATAAACCCCTAAACCCTTAACCGCCTTAACCCTATCTAAACCCCTAAACCCCTAAACCCTAAACCCTAAACCCTAAACCCCAAACCCTAAACCCTAAACCCTAAACCCTAAACCCTAAACCCTAAACCCTACATAAACCCCCAAACCCTTAACCGCCTTAAGGTTTGAGGATCTGGGGTTTGGGTTTCGGTTTGAAGGTGCTTAGGGCCTGGGAGGTTCGAGGGTTTAGGGTTTAGGGTTTAGGGTTTAGGGGTTTAGGGGTTTTAGGGTTTTAGGGTTTTAGGGGTTTAGGGGTTTTAGGGTTTTAGGGTTTTAGGGGGTTTTAGGGTTTAGGGTTTTAGGGTTTAGGGTTTTAGGGTTTAGGGTTTTAGGGTTTAGGGTTTAGGGTTTAGGGTTTAGGGTTTAGGGGTTTTAGGGGTTTTAGGGTTGTTTGATGGCTTCGGGCTCATGCCTCTGGAGTTCTGCGTCCAGGGCGTCTTGGCGAATCCTTACCCGTGAAGCTTTAATCATAATCCCTCAACCCTACTCTGAACCCGGTATCGGCATCAAGGCAACCCGAAGTGCTAAACTGGGTTCATTTAGCAGGGCTTTTTGTTAATAATGTGGTTTGCGCATTATGGCAGCTAGAATTACTCTCCTTAACCCGCCATACCCGAAACCCTAAGAAGCCAGTACTCCCTAAACCCTAAACTTAACCCGAAACCTTAAACCCAAACCCTCATCCCTAAATCCCCAAACCCCTAAACCCTGAACCCCTAAACCCCTGAACCCTAAACTCCTAAACCCTAACCTTAATGAGGAGGTCTCTGAGCATCGAAGCAGGCTTAAGGCGCCCTTCAGCAGGAGGAGAAGTCTAGCTTAGAGGCCTAAATATGTCTGGGTTGTCCTTTCGGATGTTTTTAGACTTCCCCCCTACTATTTTGTAGAGAGCCATACGTAATAGTAGTTAGTTCTCAAAGGGCTTAAAGGACAACTCAGATATACTTACCAATACTAGTTTGGGTGTTCTTAGGGTAAGTTTAGTACAGTTTACCAATACTAGTTTGGGGTTTTTTAGGATAAGTTTGGTATAGTATACCCCCAAAACCTTTTCTAATTACTAAAGCCCCTTTACTTGTTCTGCAAAGAGAGATCCAGCGGTTTAGTGTTTAGGGTTTAGTAGAAGTTCAGTAAGTACTGGGAAGAGAGAGCAAACAGTGGTCATACCGAGGTCGGAATTTCCCCGTATACATGTTCTATAATGCACCCCAGAGGACTAACTATTCTCTTTGTTGAAGCCCCCTAGATTATAGAACCCCTCTAGATATTTGGTAGCCCTTCACGGAACTCTTGAAAGGAATCTTATTCTATCCAGTAGGAATCCCGAAATAGAGGCCATACTCCCCTGAACCCCCGCGCTGAAAGTTGAAAACACGAACCCTAAACCCCCGAGACACTAAAATCCCGGCCGGTTCAGAGTTTAGGGTTTAGGATTTAGGGCTTAAGGTTTTAGGGTTTAGGCCTCCTCCCTACCTGTATTATTTTGAGGGTTCCGTATTATACGTATAGTATAATATACCCCAAAACCCTATTCTAATCATTAAGGCTGCTACATTTTTCCAGAACACGATTCCGGCTATACTTTTGGCTTATTCCTTATGCAAGGGCTTCCGCCCTACCGGAAAACAGCCATATTAAACCCTTGAGCAATGCCGCCTTCTGGGCACCGCCTCCGTGGCCCCTTCGATGCGATCGGAGGAGGCGCCGGTGCTGTGCTTTGCAGTGCAGGGTTTGTTGTTTTGGTTTTTAGGGTTTTAGAGTTGCAGGGTTTTTTGCTTTTAGGATTTTAGGGTTTTAGGGTTATGGGGTTTCAGGGTTTTAGGGCTTTAGGGTTTTAAGTTGTGGGTTTGGGGTTGAGGTTTTGGGCTCCCTAATCAGAACCCTGGTTACTAGGTCCCGGGATCCTTCAAGTAGGGTTTCTATAAGGATTGGGCTTCGTGGGCTAAATCCCGCAGACTTCAGAACCCTTCTAGGAACCCTTATTGAGCCCTAAGAGGATCCTTATAGAGCCCCCTTATAGGGACCCTTTATAGAGCCCTTCTCGGCACCCTTGTAGAGCCCTTAGAGTATTCACAGCCTCATGGTGGACAGCGGTACCTTTGAACCTCGAGAGCCCCGAAGCCTTCTGAACCCTCGTAAGGGTTTAGTAGGGCGAGTCTAGGGGTTTAGGGTTTTAGGTTTCAGGGTTTAGGGTTCAGGGTTTTAGGTTTTCAGGGTTTAGGGTTGAGGGTTAGGGTTTATGGGTTTTGGGGTCCTGATCGAAAGACGAGTTCTGCCCAGACCCTATCGGCTGCGGCTTAAGCTTGATCGTCAGCCTCTTCGAGCTTTAAGCCCCAAGGCCCCAGATTTTCACGAAACCCACCCTGCACATCCAAGCCTTCAGATGTACAAGCGGCCCCAGCGCCAAATTTTAAACCCAAAGCCCTACGCCCTATATCCTAAACCAAGCCTTCAGATGTACACAGCCCCAAGCCCTAATTTTTAAACCCAAAGCCCTACGCCCTAAATCCTACACTTTGAACCCTGAACCCTATGCCCTAAACCCTAAACTTCAAACCCGAAACCCTAAGCCCTGTAAACTCTGCGCCATAAACCTAGACTCAGCCTGGTAAGGCATTCCTGCTAACCAGTTGGAAAAGAGCCCTCAAAAACAACTTTGATTTTCAAGAGGAGCTGCGAGTGCGCTGCGCGCCACAACAACTCGGCAGCTGCTGACCAGTCTTTTGGCCTGCGATAGAAGCTTTAGGGAGAAGCTTGGATAGATACCAAAACTATTCCGCAGGGTTCCTTACTAGAAGTACACCACTATATGCCGTTTCTTGTGCCCCGAAAGGGTGCAATCGGGTTTCATGTTCTTAAGAGCTAATCCCGGGAAAAACTGTTGAACTCTCCTCTCCCTCCTTCTGCCTGCCTCTCTCTCTCTCTCTCTATCTCTCTCTCTCTCTCTCTATCTCTCTCTCTCTCTCTCTCTCTCTCTCTCTCTCTCTCTCTCTCTCTCTCTCTCTCTCTCTCTCTCTCTCTCTCTCTCTCTCTCTCTCCCTACATCCGGAAAGACAACGGGATTCTTTCAGAGCCGCTAAGCCCGAAACAGCACAGCAAATCACAATGTCAACCCTCCAGTCCCTGAGAATCTGTGTTGAACTTTCCCAAAAAATGTAGACCCCCCAAAAAAGTTTCTACAAGCTCAAGCGCTTGAAACCCTGAACGCAGCTCCTTCCTGACGCCTTCAACCCAAAAGCTCGAGAATAGAAGCCCGAATAATCACCCATATTGTCCTCGGTTTCCTCACTACGATGTAACTGTACTATGATATATATATATATATATATATGTATATACACACCTTTTCAAAAGCCCTACTATCATATATATATATATATATATATATGTATACCTTTTTAAAAGCCCTACTCCAAGTAGTAAAGGTCCCTACATGAAACCCGCAAGTCCCAACCTCCGAAGGCACCAGTTCTTCAAGCCTCGGCCCTACCCCGAGCCCGAAACCCTAAACTCCTCGATCCTACTCGGTTTAGGGTTTTGGGTTTAGGGTTTTGGGTTTAGGGTTTAGGTTATAGGGGTATCCTACTTAACTAGGCAGTGGTTTTGGGGTTCCCTTGGCTTTTTATCACCTTATTTCATAGGGATTATCATCATCCCTGGCTCCTGAGCTGAAGCCCTAAACTACAGGTCTGTTTGTTTAGAGCGTGAGCGGTTAAAACAGACCCTCACTCAGACACTCTGCTTCGAGGTTCGTGGGTAGTTCTAAGTGTCGTTATAAGTAGGATCCCCTAAACCCTAAACCCTAAACCCTAAACCCTAAACCCTAAACCCTAAACCCTAAACCCTAAACCCTAGCTATAGTTACAACCCACATTGCGGAACTTACGACTCCTTTAGGGTTGAGGGCTTAGGGGCTTAGGGTTTAGGGTTTAGGGTTTAGGGTTTAGGGTTTAGGGTTTAGGGTTTAGGGTTTACTTGAATATAGAGGGTGAGGTTCCCGCAGGTTTTGGATGAGACTAGGGATCTTCAATATAGGGCCTGAACACTTAAACCAGGGTTTTGGGTCTCATTAGTACTTGTAGTAAGGGCCCCCAGCGAATGTTTTTGGAAACTATTCAGGCCACTACATAAACCCCTCAAGTGTAGACCCTAAGCCCTAAACCCTACTGGAGACACAGGTTTTGGGATGATCTTCAACCAGGACCCTAAAGCCCTAAACCCCTAAA